TTTTTAGATCAATTTATCCCTTCTGAGTCTCAATTCATTATATAAAAAAATGAAAATATCGAGACCATTATCTCAGATTAATTTTGAAGATTAAATCAGAAATGTAAAAAACAAAAGGACCTAGTATACTAACTGGTACCTAAGAATACTTTAATTTCCTTTTTGCCTTAGCAATCACTTTTACTTTCTCTGGATTTATATGTAATTCTTCAACAATACATTTACATGTGACGTTTTTTATACTCTATCTTGTATTGCAGTGAAGGATTAGTCCTTTAAAATTGTAACCAGTTTGCACATTTTAGGGTGATCTAGAGTTTATCTCAAATGCATTTGTTTCCTTATAGGAGCAAGCACAATGCCTTACTCTATGCATGTTCAGTATAGTCTTACTTTACTTACTGATAAAGGAAAAGAGATTCAGGCTATTAGTCCTTCTTGGTAGTAATGTTACAGATGAAGAATTAACTGAATGGTTGTACTTTAGATTATATAAACTACAACACTATGGAGATGTTCCTTTGTATTAGTAGTAAAAACTGATGAGACATTTTCCTCTATGCTGTGCCCTGTCGACCATGGGTAGACAAGGTTGACAAAGTATGACCCACGGGTGTGTAGCCATCTATTTTTTTTATGAATAAAGTTTTATTGAAACACAGTTACATTCATTTATATACTGTCTATGGTATCATCTGCACTACCATGACAGAGTTGAGTAGTTCATATAGAGACCATATGACCTGCAAAGCCTATAAGGTTTACTGTTTCGCCCTTTACTGAAAAACTTTGCTGATTTTGGTATAAACTCCTACCCTATCCTATATGGAGTTCCTTGCCACCCAGAAGAAAAAAAAAATAACAAAACTAAAGTGAAGAAGTCCTGCTTTAGCTTTGTGTTCTCTTGCAGCCCATTCAAATGAGTTAAGATTAATGTTTATCAATTTGTCCTCTGAAAGTGGCTATAAAATAATATCAGTATATACAGACATGTGTTACAATTTATTATCCAACATTCCAGGGTTTTTTTTACAACAATCTAGCATAGCATAATTCCTTGTAATTCACAGTTTACCCTAAGTATATATTTACATCTATGTCACTTTACATCACCTGGTTTACACTTTTATGATACTGCCATATCTGTCTGCATGTGGTGAAACCAGACAGAATTGAAAGTTCTAATTGCTTTCCTTGTCAGGATTTCACAAGACAGTCTTGGATTCCAGGAGCTATGTCCTGATTCCTGCTATTCATGAGACTATATGAAAGAAGATTGTTAAATTGGGCCAATAAAACAAACTTTATACACAAGCACAGCCTTTGTTTACTCTGAAAGCTCACCAGTGTCATTTTTGTTTTTGCTATCACCTTGGGGATTGTATATCTCCCTAGAGAAATGTTGGATGAGTAGGGGCTGTAAAGAGTTAAGAGAAAACAGAAAGTGAGAAATGAGAGAGAACTCTAGTCCCTGGGGCTTTCTATTTACTTTGCTTTAAAAAAAAAAACTTCCCCTGGTCTTTACTGAGATTCATCAGTACTTTTTGAAATCATAAAGTATTTTACCATGTTCAGGACCCAAAGAATTTTATAGTACATACAACTTCCCTGTGGGTCTTAAATTTAGTCTGATCAGTATTCATCATTCCTGTGAAGAACAAACAAAAACATAGTCCCACTGGGAAGGCAGAATCTCAAGCACGAATTAGACTCCTTTTGTTCTTTTACTCTTTCCTTTCCTTGAATCCATAACCCAGCTCTGTCAAAGTCAAATAACTAGCAAGTAATATGAAACAGTAAAGCATCAGCCACATGAAACTTCCCTAGGAAAAGAAAAGTAGTGGGATTCAGAACCATGTGAAATCATTTTCAGAGACCCTTGAAAGATATTTTTTAAAGGCATATCATTAGGATAGAGAAGAAAGGCAGAGCAAGAATGAACATAAAAACAAGCAAACAGATTAAGAATTTTAGTTACAGATTTACCAATCGAATATGAATTTTGGCAACAGTGCCCTGCCACCATATACATTTTCTTTGAATGATGAGAGAGAGAGAGAGAAAGAAGAGAAACAGAGAGAGAAAGAGAGTAGGGGAGAGAGAGAGAGTTCTTATTGACCGATGTACAAAGACTTTGGCAACACAGTACTTTGCCCTGCCAACAAGTTAATTGAAAGATGGAAGAATGAGAGTCTAGAAAGTCTAATTCCCTTTTTGTGATTTTGTTTTATTAAGTTATTTGCTTTCACCCAGAACTGGAGACTGAGACAGCTTGCATCTTCCTCTCTGCCTTCCAACTCCTTCACCACCCATCACCAGTTGGGTGAGGAATGAAGTTGAAGAAGACTGAATTCAAGGATTTAGAGAATGCAACAATCCTACAGCTATATTAAGACCTCATTTCAGTCCATCATTTTTTATTCAAAATTCTTAGTAACGATTTGATTTTCTAAGATCTCTTGGGGGAAATTTTGTGTCCTTCCTTAATTGACTAATTTATAATGCTAATGAGCTATATGGATTCAAAAATTTAGTTTTCAGGTTTACATTCTTCCACTGCAGATGTGTATGTCTCCTTCCTCTCCTAGCTGATGGGGAACCAGAGCCCCTGTGAAAAATATCTCTAGCATTTGCAAGGGAGAAGAAAGATAGATTTTGCTAGGATCTTCATGCCCCTCACAGCACAGACTAAACATTCTAAAGTGCACTAGAAACACAGAATGCTGTAGGTTAAAAGAAAACTTTGATACTATATAATTCAACTTATTCACTTAGTTTCTGTCATAGCTTTGTTCACACACTGTAGGAAGTAAGTTAACTTCTACCAACATCAAGTACCCTGATGTGCTTGGCGTGATGGAAAGTGGAAATAGTTATAGACTCAGATGATCTGAGATCAAATCCTAATTGTGACACTTGCAGACTTGTAGGATGGTGGGCATCATTTGAATTTCCAAAACTTCAATTTCCTAATCTAAAAATGGTGATAACAATCCCTTTTGTCTCTACTGCATAAGGTTATCACTGAATGATATGAAGAAATGAATGTAAGGGACTTTGTAAACCGTATGTGAAGTACTATATGAAATCAAGGAATTATTCCACTCCATCTTATAAAATGGCTTGACATATTGAACAAGGAAGTGTGGACAATGAGGCATGGCTAAAAGTATTGCCACGATTTTCATATAAGATACCATCTCTAAATGTAGGCAACTTTCTTCTTCAGACAGAAAATAGATTTTTTTGTGTGTGCTATTTACTTGGAGATGGGTATGTGTGTGTGTGGGGGGGTATCAAAAGAATTATAAAATTAAGCTCCTTAAAGCCATTTCTAATAATTCCAAACTTGATATACCAAAAATATATATGTTTTATTTTGTATCCATCAGTGAAATTATTAGATTCTTCTCAATCTTATCTTAGAAGAATTTATCTCATTCCTGACTTAATTTAAATAAGTGTAGAATGTGTATTCTGCAATGGCTTTACAGTGTATAAAATGACAGTATCTTCCACATAGATGAAGGGTTATAAATCTAGTCAGTCACCAAAAAACTCAAAACCAGCTAGAAAATTGTGCAACATAATTTGTGGTTTCATTTGTTCTGGAAATTTTATAAATTTTTAGTTAATACAGATCACAAGAACAAAGAAAACAGATACCTCATGACACCTAAACTAACAGACACGTCAACTGCAACATCTTCAAAAGAGAGAACCATTGCCACAGCCACATAACATGGGTCACCATAATATCTTGAGCCTGAGACCCCCTGTCTAATTACACTCTACTCTCCTAGTCTCCCACTTGTTTTATGACACAATTTACAAGTCTATAAATTTAGTAGAAAGAATGCCTATCTATACTGAATGTGAATACAGAGTATTCCTTTAGTGAGTTTCAGGTCAGGTGCTCACAAAATTAAAATTATATGGATTCTCCATATAATCTCCAGTCAAGTAGCAGAATGACAGTAACCTGATTAGGATATTCAGGTTTGTCCCAGCTGAGACTAATTTTGAATCTGAACCCTGATACACTATAAGTAACATTAAGCCTCTGAAATTTAAAAAAATAGTTCAAATATTTTTAAGCATGTGGAAATTTACAAGGAACTCAGATGGCTTCAAGTAATGCTTAGGTAAGGATCCTTCTTGCCCTTGAATTTCTTCATTGTATGACACTGGCTTTAAGATTTATAATCTATTATTACTATAATATACAATATATATTATAATGTACTATAATGTACAATGAGATCTAATCTCCAGCTACATCAAGCAAACACAATAATAAGCATAGGAGCTGAAACAAGGAATAGTCAGTCACAGCTATTTTTCTGGAAGAACACCTTAAAAATAAAAGAATGCCATTGTGACATAATTTTAGTTATGCAGTGTCAGGAAGCAGCAAGTACAATAATAACCTTATTGCCATATACTGAGCTCCCATGCACGCTCTTTTATAGGACTTCTCATTCATTAAGTTGCATTACTTTAGGAAGTAAGTATTTTTATTCCCATTTTAAGGATGAGGAAACAAAAAATATTGGTGAAGTCAAATAACATGTTCAAGTTTATCTAGCTTGTGATTGCTAAATTGGGGTCAAAATAAGGAATAAAGGGGTCAAATATAAAATGACACTTCAATGAGAATAAGTTTTCTTGAGAATAAAATTAAAATTGTTTCACGTCTTAATTTACATTCACTTCTTTTTTTTTTTTTAACCATTCATTCTCTTATTCACTCAACAAATGCCCTGGGTGCCAGCTGTGTCCTTCATTTGCACTTGACTGAAAACCCTCAGAAGACAGAAAGACACAGTTTTTACTCCCAAGAACTTAGAATTTGGTGGGGAATTGAGCATATGAACTATTGGTAATAAACAGAGGAACACTGCTTATCCTCTGAAATCACAAGTCAAATTCTTCCATATGCTAAGAAAATAATAAAAATGGGGATACTATTAGGGGATATAAAGAATATTTCTGCTTACTCGGTTCATGCTGTGGCTTGACCATTAAGAGCTTAAAGGATCATGGTCCTCTGATGACTTCCTGTTACTGCCACCTCTCTGGGCCACTGAGAAACCGTGATGGAACTGAGGAAGGGAGAAAAAAAAGACAAAAAAACAGAAAAAATGGATTATGGACAGAGGCAAAATAATGATGAACAGGAGAGGGAATTTTTTTATATTTCCTGGCAAGGGTAAGCTCTGAAACCGATGTTGTAGACAGATCTTAGAGCCCAGTTTCCAGTGGGAGTAAATTATCTTCCCAGATAACTCATCCATATGATAACTCTGTATTATTACAGAGGAGTATCTTTGATTAACAAAGATCCATATTCTTAACCATACCAAAAATATTTTAGGCTAGTCAAAGGTAGACATTATGGAGGAAACAAGTCATTTTTCATGCCGTTGATATTGGACTCTCCAGTATTTCTTTATAAAACCACTTTGATAGTTGCCTTGGCAGTGGACTTTGATCTGCATAGCATCAAGACCTTCATTTGCTGTGATTTCCTATATGGATTGGAGGGACTATTTTGGAGAGGCTGGCATTTCCAAGGGTACCTTCATTAACTTTAAGCTCTGTAAGAGTAGGTCCATACTGTTTTTTGTTATCACTCTATTATTAAAATTTGTCACAGTCGCAGACCAATGACAGACATAACGTGTACACCGGTTAATGAAGAAGTAATTTAATCAAATGCAATGATTCTTTCCCAATTTGTGCTATTAAAAACAACAAATTAATATTCTGTTCTATTTTTAATGGTAGAAATGAGAAATTCTCATCTCTTTTAGGCAGATGAGAATATGATTATACTTATAGTTGAAAAAAATAAAAGTAAAATGTCATTAATAAATCAAGTGGTTCTGAAGTCAGTTCTCCCTGAAATACTTCTATTGCTACATATCATGTAAATATTTATTATAATCCAATATGAAATCAACTCCTTAAAATTTTCTCATTTCTTTGTAGAATTGGACCTAGACTTATTTTGAGTATAATTGAAAGTGAAGTTTCACCTTGGTTTATGTCAAAATCATTATACCAGAAAATAGCTAAGAACATCGTCCTTTATAGACCCATGCCACTAGTATTATTATTTATTTTGATTAGAAAGGATTTGTTATTAGAAGCAATATTTTCTCTCATACCAATTACATGCAACCACTCACTTTTGAAAGACAAAGTAAGTTGCCACCAGAATGACCCACAAGTTCCTATTTTCCTTTTTGTCCCATGATCATGTTAAAAAACATTCAGCCTTGTATGGCTACTTTCGCTATTTTCTAATGTTACTATTCATATGTCCTTTCTCCAGTTTGGACTGCTATAGTCCCTTGAAGCCACCTTTTTTTTTTTTTTTTTTTTTTTCTATCAACTTCAGATTGAACGGGCTTCATTCTTTCAGAAGGCACTCACCATGTCAACCATAGTAACAAACAAAAGAAACCCATACACCCAAAGCTTGCACCTTACTCACCAAAACCTAATAGTTTGCTTGTACTGCCAACAGTCTTAAAAATAACACAACATACTCTTTCCTATGAGCACACAGCAGTATTTTCACTAAAGGATGAAATCCTGGAACATTTAATTATCTTGAAAGCAAATGGTAATTAAAACACTTTTCCTAACACTGGGATGATGGGGTGGTGAAGGAAAGAAAGCTAGGGATCGGAATCCATTATGTGGCTGAGGCTTCTGTCTGGTCGATTTAAGCAGATTGGAGCCGAGGCAGTCGCACATAACCGCCTCAGGTAAGGGAGCGCAGTGTTCCTGTGGGGTTATCAAACCGGCCAGGCCTTGAAGGCAGAGCAAAGCCCTTCCAGTGGGAAGTTCTTCCTAAGTGCTTGCATGGCATCCGCAGGATTATCCCACCCCACTCACACATCATCTGGCTTTAAACTTTAGACCCTCTGGCAAAGAAGAGACGAAACATCTATTCGTCCCCTCCTCCCTCTTATCCCTCCGTTCTGCCTTTCCCATCCTGTTTCCTAGCAGCCGCTGGCTGAGGCCTGCCCTTCTCTGCCAAGCACCAGGCTGGATTAGCTGCAAGCCAATAGCTGGGGGTCAGGATTAAGAGGCCAGCGTGCACTTTAATACAAGCTGCCTATAATTAATGGCATTATTAATAGCTTGACTGAAAAATTCATTAAAAAATCCATTAAAAATAAATACCCTTTTACAAAAGGCATTGCCTTGGGTAAGAAAAACAGAAAAAAAGATAAAGGAAAATTGATTGGTGGCTTTCAGTTCACAGAAGACAGACCATAGTTCAAACTGATTAAAATTGAACATTTTAGATTAAGCACCCTTGCCAAAGTATTCTCTGTAGTTACCCAATATGAAAATATTATGATATGTCACATATTTATATTTTTATGTATCAAGGAATGGGATATAAGACATACAGGTAGCTGCTTGAAATAACTTTCTTCAAGTGAATACTCCTGACCCTCAGTAATAGCAGAACGTCCCATGAAATGCTGGTTAACTGTCTGATTAACTCGGAGCTTCAAATGCAAAAGATCTGTTGAGAGGTGGATTATTCCCCCAAAATTTATGACTTTGTCCAATTGTTTATCTACTTTCTGCAGATGTGTTAGCATTGGTCCTTTTTCTCTTCTTCTTTAATTTTTTTGCATTCATACCACAGTTGTTCTTCTCTGTATATCGGGCTCTGTAACTTGGAATCGATCTTATTGAGTTTTGCCTCAGCCCAAATAAACAATGTAGAAGGTGATTGGAATGTCTGTGGTTCGGATGTTTGTTCCAAGAAAAGTGGCGATGAAAGGGGAAAGTCCTGTTGGGTACACAGACTCCCCTGCCCCCCTTCCCGACTTGTCCTCTATAAACGTTTTTTTGTGTTGATACTAAATCTGATCTTTTAGGTCAACTTTGCTCTGGGTCTAATCTGCTCATTGGTGTGAGATGAACATTGTCTTCCAGAGGTACAGGCGACCATGCCCTCTGAAAAAAAGACCCCATTCATGAGAGTATTTGCTTGAAGAGAGCTTTTATTCACTTCACCTGTTATGTTGTGCCTATAGAGCACAAAGCCAAGTGGAGATTAGGCAATTATCTGGTTAATAGGATCAACATAGACAAGAAGTTCATTCAATAGGCATTTCTGACTGCACACCATGCACAGCACAGACCTGGATGGGTGGAGAGGCACAGGGTGAGGAGAGAACATACTGCTGCTTAGTTCCTAACACAATAAAGGAAATGAGACATAAGCACAGTGAACAACTGACATGCAATTTACAAGCAAGGGAAGAATCATATGGGATTCTATGTACTAAAGTGGGGAATATAACAAGTTAAAAAATGTAAGAGGTGATTAAGCTGGGGTATGTCTCTTGGAAAAGGCAAATCAATGTCTCTGTATGTTCAGAAATCTCCAGTTCACCCCTTTTAAACCTGGTAATTTCAGACAGTGGATGCATGCTCTTTTAAAATGAATTAAATTTTCTTTGTTGCCATTATACTAAGTTCTCAAAATTTATACTGAAGATGGGTACTTAGTTCCTGGAAATATTGAGAAACTTTTTTTTAATCTGAGATTCACTGGGGCACCCACAGATATACTGTTAACACTCTGGCATTGTTTCAGCTCCCACTTTTCCCTCCTTAACCACTGCTTGTTACTTGCAGAAAGTTATTAGTGCAGTGTGATAGATATTAACTGAGCAATGAGCTTCCCAGTAGAAAGATACTGATTTTAAAATGCCTGTGCTCTGTGATTTTCACTTTTGTATCTAATAAAATAAGGCTCTAATTAGCAAAGTGTTGAGTAATTTCCCAAGTAGGGTGTGTTAGTCTGTTCAGTATTTTCCATTCTCTTTCATTCTCTTCCTATAATTGAGACTCATGGTAGATTTTCCCTAAAGTAAAACATTTGCAATTTTGTGAGGTTCCAAAATTTAAAAATAGGTGCTCTGGGGTGAGATCCTCTTGCCTATTACTCCTGGGCATACAATTCTGAACTTACAGCTTTTACTTCTATGTTAATGTGAAGTACACTATTGGTTAAAAATTTTTAAATTATGTCATTTGGCTGTTTAGTCCATGTGTAACAAACACATTTAACTAATGTATTTCTGAAATGTTTACTGATGGAATCAACAGTTGTTTGACACACTTTAGATAGAACCTGCATGTAGACAATAGAAACAGGAAGGTAAGAGGGAAGAGGAGAAAGGTTCTGCAGGGCAGAGGCAGGATGTTGGATGAAAGCCACTTGAGGAGATGATATCACTGTTCAGCCCTGTCACTTAGCACCTGGCAGGTCATCTATTAGGTAAATTAGGGGCAATAGAACACACTGATTTTGGAAAGGAAGATCTTGACAGTTAGGAAAACAAGATCAAGCAAAGGCTGTAAAGCTATTCACATTATTTTTTATTCAAATACTGTAATCCCACTTGTCTGAATAGGCTAGGAAGTTTACCAAACTTCAAGCACTTGGTGACTGACTTCCATCAAAGAGGGATCAAATAATTACAGACATGGGATGAAAGGAATGTACCCAGGATGTGAAAAAGTAGAAAGCATTAGGAAATGAAAGAAGCAATTTTATTAATACAATCACCACCTTTTTCATCACCACCAAGGTCAAACAAAACCTGGCATACATTATATAAACAGATCTCAGTTCAGATGCTGAATTGTTCACTCATTCACTCAAGAAATAATTATCAAACACTTACTAAATGCTGATAAGTATCCCAAGAACTGAAGACAAAACACGTAACAAAGCAAAGAACCTTGACCTCGTGGAGTTTATATTCTAATGAAGGATATGAATGGTAAAGCAGAAATATAAGTAAACATATATTATGTGAGAAAGAGGTGAGCACTGTGATGAATGTGTTAGGGAAATATGTTAGCAAGAATCAGAAGAGGCCTTCTCACTGAGAAGATGACATTTCAGGAAGACCGGAAGCAAATGAGGAAATGAGCTAGGTGGGCATCTGTAGGAAAGGCATTCCAGGTAGAGGGGACAGCAATATATTCCTTGAGGGTGTAGGGTAAGGTGGAGGATAATGATAATGCTTTTCCCAAAGTTAGACACACCAACTCATAAATACTGGTAA